CTAGAACATTGTCGAAAATTCGATGGGGGCTTGTAATAGTAGAAGGTCTTCTATTCGTTAAAATCCGTTTAATATCTATGATCTACCGTGCTGTCCAAATTCTATAAATTATATGCTATAAATATCTAATTTAACTCTGCTTGGTCCATAGCGCGATTAGCAGCAAATCTGTCCGGCGAACCTCGCCCTGGAATACCATCTCCTCGACTTTGTACCAAATGTATACATTACTGGCTCTCTGTATTCCGCAATGGTATATCTTTGCGCTTTGCTCAACGAAAAACGATGTTCATCTTACTTTAAGGTGTAAATGTTTGGGATTCGCTTACAGCCTTCTTCCTAAGTGTTGTAGCGATAGCTCACACGTCATGTCCGTGACATGATTGCAGTAAGGACTATTGTCGCGAACTGAGTAATTATGAAAGCCTTAATCGCAAGAATAAGAAAGCTGATATATCTTGTTTCAGCCTAAGACAACTCATCACAAGCTAGTCTCATCCTTTGGGTATGCGGCGCCAGTTGAACTAAACCGCCATTTACTTCAATGAGTTTTCAGGGTGTTATCACCAAAATTCAATATAACCAATTGAGCTGAAGACTTCAAATTTAGAGACCAAGTCTCAGGCACGATTTAATACAAATCATTAAGACTGTTCAAAGTTCATACTCATTTGTTCTTGAAACAGAATTCTGACGCTTTCAAGGACAAGTTTTGTACTAGGTCGTCCTCAAAAACCCTACTCACTTCTGCGATTTGAGTCTTGTCGAGTCCAATTTCATTTTCTAAATCCTACGTCGTACGCTTGAAAATCTGACAATATTGACATCAATTTGAACTGTTTTCTCAACGAGGTTCTGCTTGCGATTGAGTAAAACATCCTGTCGATATTTCAACTGCGATGTGGCTTGAAAAAAAAATGGCGAGTGAGCTCAAAGGGCCGAGCTGTTAGTCTAGAGCAGCGGCGCAAGTCTCTGCATATCTGATGATAAATCCGCTGCGGAAGACAATCGTGGGTATTTTATTTTGAGGTTATTCATTTTACTGGTTTGAGGCGATCAAGCAAGGCACAGATGATTTAAGCCCCCGCACTGCATACGCACTCGTTCTGCGTATCTTCACCCACTCATTTCTGCGCATGTTCACGCAGTCTATTGCATTCGAGTGGTCGAATAGGACACACTGAAGCAAGTGCTGGCGTTATTCAGGTAGACTAAAGGCTGACTAGCTTAAAGAACAGAGAAGAATCAAAGTGATCGCTTCATTAGAGATTCTTTGGCATCTATGGAGTGATCAATACGCGCCAAATGTCCTCACGATGACTCGAGAAGCTCGAAGTTCTTTCTGTCGCCATCCGTGTTTTTGCCGCTACCAATCATGTTGTCACGATGGCTAGCAGGGTACATCTTCGATAAGGTAGTGTCTTCTAAGACGGTTGTGCTGGTGAAGTGTGAGTATGTTGCTCTGTCCCCCACCAGTCACCATCACTTACCCCTCTTGTCCCTAACCGGACCATCAGTCTAGCTCTGTTTAAGGCTCACGCCTCCCGTCCTTCTTTAAGCTGCGACCGGAGACAATATAGTCCGCAGAGTAGAGTCAGACTTCCAAGCGGCGAAGGTGGCACGGGATGAGTGGGCCCGGGGGGGCGGCAGGGTGCTGGGGTGCCATCTTGATGTGCTGGGCTCGCTTGCTCGGATAACTTGTCAAATTTGATATCATCTGTTTTCCGAAATGCAATTCTGAGCAGCGATAGTTTTATGCAGGTTTCACTACATTAGTGTTACCTGGAAAGCGTTTGACAAACGTACCGAAGGCCGGGTGAGTCTTCAGCTTTTGTAACACCTTAAATAGTCGTTCAACTGCGCCCTTCGCGAGTTGGCGTCGCTGAAGGTACCGAATGTGAGCGAAAGAAGTAGCTGGAGCACTGGTGTGGATCGTTGCCATTCGAACAGACATCGGTTGCAGTCGGACCACAAGAATTGGAGTGTTACTGCGTAAAGCGTGTGCCATACGTCGCTAACCACGTCTTAATAATCATCTTCGTCGTCGCGTACGCACTTCTTCTCGACCAGATGGAAGGTCATGTCTCGTGATTTCCCAGCGTGTTTTGTACCACCCGACAAAAGTCGCTCGTCACCGCGTCGACATCAAGCTCCACTTGATCAAATTGCCTTGGCAAAGCGGAGAGATCGTTAGGAATACGAGCGCGATGCATCGCCCGGTGCAAGGAAGAACCAGCATGAGTAGCTCAGTGCTCGCTGTCGTCCAATTCGGCACGATGCGTCAATGGCCACTCGCAGAAACTGCAGTAGCAGTGCAATATAAAGTCGCTTGAGGTGCTAACTTGAGACACCGAGTCCGCCGTCACGGTGCCGCTGGTGCTCGAACATATTCGGGATATGCTGTACGTGAGATGCGTCGCGATTGTGCTTGCGACTCAGCACGAACCGATTCGGCATCGACTGCCACCGCTTTACGACCGGTTCCGGTATCGATGTGTGCTACGTGTAATGCCACAGACGGGATAGTACCATCGTCTGTGCTACCAGAAGTCGACCACGGAGCGTGAGTGCGCGTCAATACCAAGCCTTGAAGCCGTCGTAGATGCGTTGGAAGAGAAACTCGATGATTGTGTCGTCGACTGAAGCTTGTCCGAACGATATGTCAAAAATTCTTGATTATCTCCAGGCGTTTAGGCACTTGAGCGCCAGGAAACATTGGGAAGCCTTAGTTTCGATTGAGCACCAAAAGTACTGATTTAGGTAAGCTGGGCTTTGCGTCGGAGCCTCTGCGGTGATTTTTCACGATCTCAAATTGCGCCTGCGGGTCTCAGACCAAGCTCGCAAGTCGGACCCCCCCCGTGGGATCTTTGCAGGTATCTAAGGGGCTCAATCGTCAGGACGAAGAGCAGCGTAGACAACGGATCGCCTTGCCTCGCGTCGATTGCAGTGCGGGCCGAAGGTTGTGGACAATCAGTAGATGCGCTTCTGGGTTCATGTGCAACGACTCTATTCGTCGGATAAACGCAGCGCCGAATCCCATTCTCTCAAGCAGTCGAATCCTGTCGTGCCAGCCAACACGATTGAACGCCTTCTGGAAGTCCAAGGACATCGTGTATGCCTCTTCATCGCGAACTGTCACGAGATCCTGCAAATCAGCGAGGAACCGCACGTTGTAGTGGATCGACCGTTCTTGGCAAAAGTTTTATTGTTTGCATGAATCATGTCGGCTATGACTTGCTGCAGACGATATGTCAGCGCCTTCGACAGCACCTAAACATCGACCTGCATTATTGCGATCGGTTATCCTGGTTCAACCCTCGATCCCTTTTCGTTCAAAAGCACCACGGCAGACTTGCGCTGTGATGGAAGCAGAGCCTCGCTGCGAATTTGTTTGTTGGATACGATGCTTAAGCACTCGCCGAACACATCCGGAGAGTCCTGGTAGAACCAGCGAACAGCCCGTCAATGCAAGGCAAGGATACCACCTTCATGTGTTAAGTCGCAATTGCAAGGTCGGCAGATGTTATTGGTGCGTCAAGCATCGCATGGTTGACTACCAAGACAAAGCGGACGATCGAGTTGAGAAGCTTACGCTGCATGGCTTTGTCAGGTGGCGAGCTCCTCCTACTGGCCTGTTGAAATCTTCCTTCTCGGATCCCCCCGTTACCAGGAAGCGAAGCGAGATCTCTCGAGGATTTGTCGCGACGCTTCAACTTGATATCGACACTTCCTTGATCCAGACTCGACGCAGACTCGTGTCCACCGAACAGAAGAAGTACTTGGTGGACTTCCCCGTGTTGGCCACTTGGAAGTCGAACGCGGCGTCTTGGATGTACTAACTCACCCGCGTGACCGTTTTTCTGCAGTTTTTCATGGCTTCATCAAAGATCTCGCGAATTGAGTCACGACCTCCTGTAAGATATCAAACAGTAGTTTGGTCGAGTGCGATGCAGACATCCTCAATAGCTTGCATGTCGTGCATCCGAAGCTTCTTCTGCACATCTTGCAGCAGTGTCTTGATGCTCATCTTCCATTTCCCCACACCTTACTGGGGTTCTCAGCAGCACGCAGTTGATCTCGCCTTTTTTTGATCGCACACACAACTTTCGGGTAGCCGAGAAGGTACTGCGGGAACTTCCAGTAGCCTCGACCATGCATCTGTTTGCCCGACCGAAGCTTACGCAGTTAGCGAAGTGGTCGCCATCGCGCTTTGGTAGGAGCTACTTCGAGTCTTCGAAGAAGCGGTTGCAGAACGTCTCTGACGGCAGGATGTAGTCCAGCCGGTTTTTTCAAGGAAGGTGACCGATGAATTCACGCTTTGTGTCAAAATAAACCCGCCATGCATCGTCAACACCCAGCTTCGCTAACCACTCGAGACAGCTGAGTCGACTCGCGTCATATCTTACGTCAGGATGCGAAACGTCGAGCTGAGGGTCGAGAGGAGTGTTGAGCTCGCCCAACATGAAGTGAGCTACTTGATCCTCGAGCCCTTCAGTCTCGATATTCTCTGGCGATACACAGGCGCATACTCATTGTGGATGTAGATTAAAGCACTATTGACCATCACCTTAACGACTAGGTAGCGACCTGCGACCGACAGCTGTGGGGGTTTAATCGCCGATTCAAACCAGGGATGTCAGAGCGGAGCACCGTGAGCACTCCACCGCTTCGACCTCTCGTGAGTCGATCCAACAGCGAGTTGGGTCGTTCACGAAACCTTGTGGTTTAAGCTCGACTCGAGGTTAAACATGAACGTTGGGATGTAAGTGCTGTTTGCAAATGTAGTTTCTAGAGCACACGACACCAAGTACTTGCAAAACAAGCTCTCAATAAATAGGTGACCGTTCTTTTTGAAGCCATTGGTGTTCATGATGAGGACACTAACGTTGCTTCATGTCATGGTGGGCAATACGGATGGTTTAGCGACGAGTTGCCAAGCAGCCCGCGGCCATAAACACGCCGTCATCCACGGCCTAGAGCTGAAGCACCGATATGTCTTCTGGATAGTACCCATCGAGCTTGTCCAGCGCTTCGAAGTCGTTGAGCAAATGATACTGCCACTGTGCATTGCTGCATGCAGTACATACCGAGGTCCGACAGTAGCAGACGAAGGAGCATGTTGGGGAGCAGATATAGCGTGTTGTGCGCGGGATCCACTCGACTGGATGACTAAGATACTGGATCCGCTGATCACTGACAAAGCTCGTCGGCAATGGACAGTTATGCCACTCTACACCCCCAAAGCCATGATCGCTTGGGTCAGCTCTCGCATCGACTCGACGTTCCCGCCACGTTGCCCTCGTCTTTAAGATGTCGATGCGCTTGAATGAAATTGCTATTATCATCACCTTTTTCATTTGGTGGCGAAAGTGAAGTCTTCATCAGGCCGTGTCGCTGATAACACACGATCAATTATGTGCAACCACGCGAGGTCAGCGATAGCGCGCTGTTGAAGGAGAGAGGACACTCGATAGCCTTCTTTGTGACATGGTTGGCGTTCATGACCTTCTTGAGCAGCTTGCCAACTCTGTCGATCACAATGTGGTCCATTCAATAACTTTCGAACACGAATTAATCTTGCAATTCAGAATATCGGCACTGCGAGTGGCATGTAAAAAAATACACAAGTGCCTGCCAACCATGAGTACATGTATTATATTCAAGGTGTGATATAAATTTCTTCGTGCGGAATTTTGCGCTTGGATGTCGGACGATAAAAAGTAATACGTTATCTGCATGAGGTTGCTGTGCAGTTTGTACAGAGAAAACTACGATTTAATAAAATTTTTGCGTGTACGAACGCACAGAAGTCAGAGATGGCTGCTCCATCCTTGACTGCTATTCCAATAGGGACATACATGAAAGGAAAGACTGATGTTCTAACAAAATATTCTACTTTGCCTCGTAATTTAACTCTGTATATTACCGTGCGTACCAGGGTTAGTTTATTACAAAAGTGTAATGTGAATTTCATATGATCGTGCAGTATTATATTTTGCACAATTGTACAAAGTGTAAAATGGGAATAGCACGTACCCACTAAACTATCACCACAAGCCCAATGGTTCAACTTACTTATAACTTCGCTCCAATGAAGGGATTCGATCAAACAAATCGTGTATGTATTTAGTCTTACAACACCTTCGGTGCACGTTTTTTTACTATGAGCTATCGCAATGAATGCTTTCTTGAAAACGGAGCTAATATACTACTTTCTACTGGTTTTGCGCCAGTTTAGTATTATGTTGTACTAGACTGACATTTTTCTTTTTAGATTTGGAGATTTTTAAGGTAATTTCATGAGGTTCTTCACATTAAACGAGGTTTTAAAACATTTCTGGCTTCTGCTACTCTGACCTCCACACACAAACGAGAAAGTCTCGGGCCATTCCCCTCCACCTACACACCCCAATTCTATGGTGCATGTAACGAAGCCCGTAGTTATTGCTGGCATCTCGGCCGCAGCAGCAGTTGCTATCCTCATCTATGCTATCGTCCGAAATGGAAAAACAAGCGTACGAAGACTTTCTTTTGTCAATCGTACCAACGGAATTATTCATTCATGTGCTTTTCAGTCGCAGGACGCAAAAAAGAGCAAGCAGGACGACAGCGTACGCGAGATTCCAAATCTACACAAAGAACAACTTTTGAGTATTTTGGAAACCATTTGCACACAGATGGGCCAAGTCGTGGTACGTTCAGCTTTCTAAAAGCAGGCACTATGTTGTCAAGTAATAAAACGTGTCATCTTTGTATCTCAGATGCAATTGGCCAAATTAGAAGCTAAAATTCGTCAGGAATCGTCTCAAAGCGGTCGCTCACTACCTGAAGATCAACTTGCTTCGTATCTCATGGGTCAGTTTGAGGAGGCAATGAAGGCCATCGAGTCACAGGTTTACGCGAAGTTTCAGACGACTGAAGAGGAAGTTAAGGAGGCAACCGAGTATTTTGAAGAGGAAGACGACAAAGACGTTGCCAATGCTGTGGCAAAACTTCAGGAGCTTTACCGCGTTATGACTGGCGGTGGATTTAGTGATGTTGATGTTCCTGCCGAGCTCACGCTCACCAAATTTATTGAGATCATGCAGGAGACGATGGAGTCTCTTAATGTGGCGATGGAAGAAGTGTGTCTCGAGGTTAAGGAATTAAATCCTGACAATAAGGAAGAAGCCATCAATCAGAGATATGTCAAGCGCGCAGACAACCTTTCAGCTGAAATCCACGCCAAGCACGGTCTCACGCGCGAAGTGCTTCAGGCTGCAATGATGAAGTATCAACAGGAACCGGCGTTTTTGATGGCCATGACGGAGCTCCAACAGCAGCAAGCGGAGCGTTTTGCAGCGGCAGCCGCTATCTTTAATGGTGAGGTCAACATGGGGTTGACCGAGTAAGTGTCTGCCAACAATATCTACTAGAACATTCAATTCAATCGCCCAGCTGCAGTCTTTTCCTGTTATTCAACCATGTCTCCAATCAACCCATTCGCATGCTTCCATCATCTGATTGACGTATTAGACGCACACGAACGTCAGTTGGCGCTAGATCCGTAGGTCCTGCTTGCTCAATTAGAAACGCGTTGTAGACGCGAGAAGAGCATTTTTGGTCGCACATGATGATTATTTGGTTCTGTGTATTGTATATCTTATCGAAATGGATGGTTGTCGTGTAGATCGCTTTTTCAATCTGAATCTCCAGGCAAAACGTTTTTTCTTTTTAAAGCCGTGTTTGTCACTAAAAATGTACAAGCTTCAATATAGTTTTTACGGCAGCCATGCAGCCAGACCGTCTGGAAGGGTGGATGGTTCGACAGGTCGAGCGTTCTGACCTGGCAGCAGAAACGTCGGCTCAATCACCATCTCCAAAAACCTTAAGTCGTGCACCGCTACTAACTAGAGTCAAAAGATCAACAGCTGCTACGCCTCGTAGATCAAATGACACATGCCAATCTGTTGTGACTGTCTCAGGTCAAGAGGAGGGCACGAGTTTACCTTCTCACGTTTTCTTAGCTCCTGTCAACAATTCAGATTTTCCAAGTCGACGAATAAAAAAATCTGACGAAAAGTTAAAGGAACGATGGCGCACAGGAAGTTATGATCAAAGATTGGCGTACATTGAAGGAAATTGTGTTGATCGAACCAAAGTGCTGCATAACTTGCTACCAAATCAGCGAGAAGCTGACAAGCTATCCCCTCTTTTATTGCGGGAACTACCTCGCGAGCATATACTTGAATCAATCTACCAATCCGTTCTTTCAACACCTTGGACGTACGTAAATCACTATCTCCGTTTATTCTTGACCTATTTGTAATTATTACAGGCCACTTATATGTATATCAGCACCTCTCGTCGTCCTTTGGGCGAGCTAGAGGCCATGACAAGTGAGATAGATGAAGCAGCGCGTGTGCGTCGTGTTGTGTATGTACCTTAAGACTGGTGGAATAATAAAGCAGGATGTTCTGACACTGGGTTGATGTGTTAGAGCCGATGTACTAGCGACTGCTCCATCAAACATTGTGAAGAAACATAAGTCCCCTCGAGCTCCATTTACTCCACGAAATCAATACAATTCAGCCGAAACTGATCTAAGTCATTATAAAGGAGGAGAATTGACAAGTCCACGCATTCGAAACGTACTTGCACTTTCAGCTACAATACTAAATCCAAGGGTATCACGGGTCACGTCAAGATCAGAAGAGAGGTATGGCAGTAGACTCTGCTTAAGTCGTCAACGTACTCTAACAAGGGTTTTGTGCTAGCAAAATTCAAAAGTTTATCGCTGAGTTGCGTGCAGATCCAGCACTGTGGGCAGCATTTCAGGTAAAGGCTGAGAAGTATTTTTTTTTTTAACTTATCTGAAGTCGCCTGTATTGCTTAGCATGATGTTGAGCAAATACAACAGCAGTATCGACGTGTAAGTTTTCATCGTTCCTCGTGCCATAGTAGAGAAACGGTCTCTGATTTTGTTGCCATGCTCCGCGCAGAAAAATGATATATGTGATGTAAGCATTCTTCTCTTTGATCAAAGTTTATATGATGTTCTCCTGGTTACTTGTGCTCCATCCAGAAAATTCGCGTGAATAAAGAACTGGCGAGAACACCTCGGTCCGTTGAAGATCATGAATCGAGGTAGAAATGCTCACTCTTAGCAACGTTACTGGGCCAGCCTGACAGTGAATACTATAGAAAAAAGCAGACTGCCGAGCGAATGGAGCGCACTCGGCATCAACGAGAGCATATCTTACAATTGAGAGACAAGCAACTGGAAGCAAAACGAGAAAAATACATACGACGTGTGAATCCGAGCCAATTTTTATCAGCGGCGGATCTTGAACAATCGGTGCATTATCGACGGCGTAAAATGTGGCTTCACGTGGCATCTTTTGTGGTCGTGTCGCACCGCTGGCATCAACAACTAGTGCAGTCCAAGGGATTAAAAGCGATGGCCAGAATACGAAGCATTGCGGCAGCTACGATTCAGCGTATCTGGCGTAAGTGGAAACGGCAGTATGCATCGCAGCACACAGTGGTGGTTTACACGTGGCTGCGAAAAAGTATGTGGAAAAAGCTTTTGAGATTACGATGTCGTCGAAAAGGTCGCCAGGCTTTGTTGATACGGCACTTCATACTCGACCACTGCAGTGTAAGTAACGCTCGACGAAACCTAAATCTCCTCATGGTGCAATGGCGACGCAAGGTTATACGTGCTCAACGAGCCAGCAGGTAATCGATGTTTAGTATAAGCTCGTATTTGATGCAACTTTCTGACTATTTTTTTTAGATCTTTTGTTGTCTGCAAGCGGGCTCGACTGCAAGCTTTATCAATTTGGTTTGACAATACTGATCATGAGCGGCTACGGATGGATCGCCAAGTGAGTAATGAAGAAAGACGCTTGACTGGCCGGAAAGACTCGATGAGTAGTAATTTTGGGTCTGGTAACGGTGTTCCTGGCTCGGCAAGCGCACATCGACCCCGCAGAAATTCAGTTGTAGTGCTTGGAGGCATGGACGAGAAGCGGGTGAGCACGCAAATGCTTATCACTCCTATGGAGCTTCAACGCCTGCAACAATCGTCAATACCAGTTGTGAAGATTCCAAAGGTGTAAGTACTTTGCATGGAATGTTTGGATAAGACAGCTTCATGAATTATTCGCTCTGTGTTTTCTCAGCATCAAATGGCAACTCTTGGCAGAATTTCTCGCCGAGTCAAGAAATGAGTTTCAGCAGAAACAGCAAGCATACCGAGAAAAACTTTCGTGTGCCGTTCATACCAGGTGAATTGGTTATAATAAGTGGCTTGCACCTTTCAACACATTCATCATTTGATTTTTCAGAGAAGTCAAGCTAGAGGAAGCCCGTGCAATCTTTCAAGGTTCCTTAAGTTGGAATAAGACAGCCGAGACGAACACCCCTGAGTCTCGAAGTAAAAACAAGGCCATCCAGCCGCCGTGTTTTTCTCTTTTTTCGGACTTGAATGCTGCTAAACGGATGGAAGATCTTGTTCGTCGTGGTGTTCAGCTCACATTAGAGGCTGATCCCGAATTACGAAGCCTCATTGCACGTCAACAAGAGCAACGCTTACAAATAGCATATTCACCATCTCGTCGGTCTATCGTCTCCTTTTCGGGTGCAGCAGTATCGCCACCTGCAGGTTTAGCGACTACCCCGACATCATCGCCTCCACGTCGACAAAGCATTTTAAAAAAGTCGGCGTAACTATTTGTAATGCCATGTGCTGCTCTTACAACTACTCAAACATCATGCATTTATATGAAATCTTAGATTAAAATTACAACGACTGTCTGAATTCAAAACCTACGAGTTTGACCAAACGACCAAACCAATTAACTTATTTTGTTGCAACGTTTAACTCACTTCCTCAATTACAATGTGCATCATCTCCAACATCGAACGACACGAGACCAGATAGAGAGCACAATTACAAGCGAACACGAGCAATGTCGAGAAGTGTTCTGATTAAACTCTATTCATGTCTTCAGTCCTTGCTGCAGTAATTGGACTGCGTACTGATCTTGTTGTCGAGCTTTCCATGCCTGACAAAAGTAGCTGTGCCATTAATCGAGAGTGATTAAGTGTGCTATTTCGCATCGCAAGGGCCACGCTACCGTAAACCATTTGGCTGGCCGAGCCGCGACCTTGCCCTTCGCCTTCCATTTCTCCTTCCTCCTCATCAATATCTTCAAATACAAATATACTGTCGTCCCACGACAGATTAAAGTCGAATTCAGTCTCACGAATCGAATTATTGGGCTGTTCGCCACCGTGTCGAAGTCGAACTAATTCCCCAGGAACGTCTGGCACCGCGGTCTTTGCTTGATTCGCGAGCGCCGCTTCATCAATGCGTTTGGCCTTCGGTACACGGCCACGGACAAGCGTGACGAGATCCAAGCTCAATACGGGCAACTGCAAATCAACAGGAATTGCTTCAATCAACCCAATCGGCTTCGAAATTCCCTTAAAATTATAGTAACCGTGTGCCCTGAATTGAAATGTTGTAAATCCTGGCATATCTTTTATTTTATCTGCGCTAGCAATAATTTGCTGGCTTGGACATGTTACTTGCGCCAAACAGAAAGCACTCCAAGCGTCACCGCCGATCAAAACCTGACCACCATGTGCTGCTTTTGCTATTCGCGCCGTCTGATTCACTATATTGCCAAAGTAATCCGCACGTCCACTTGTCTTATGCGGACTTACACTAGCAGGAATACCCGTTTCAATTCCCATCGACATTGAAAAACGCAACTCTTGATTTTCGTTTTCCAGATCCCACTCGCGAAACTTTTGCCAAATTCGCAGCTGAAACTCACCGCACCACAAAATAGCGCTTGCAGGTGTGAAAAAAGCCAACATAAAGTCTCCCTGCAATTCTTGGCATTCGTAGCCATTGTGTTTTCGCAGGAGCTCGCGAGCCACCATACACAACGTCTTGATACGATCGGCAAGTTCTTCAGCGTGACAGCGAACAAGAGGTCGAGCTCCTTCAATAAACGTAAAAACCATCGTGACGGGCTTGTGAGCCGACGGAGCATCACGCATTCCAAGCGAAAGCTGCTGTGGACTTTTTAGAGTAGGAAATCGACGGAGCTCCAGATCTCGTGGCAATAGTAGCATAAGCAAGACTTCGTCACCGAGAACGGCGTGACCGCCCAAGTCTTCAACAACGGGATTGCCCAATTGTACGAGCTGTTCTTTTAACCTATCCCACACATTATCACTTAACACGATCTGTCCTCCATAAGCGTACTCACTCACAGTTTTTGTCCACTTAACTGCTTCGCATAGTGACAGCTCCGAATTGATATCTGGATCTGCCGTATGGATTACCATTCGTACGCGAAAGCCGCGATACAAAAGCAAATTTTTCTTTGTCTTGCCATTCGTTGTCACAGAGACTTCTTTCATGTCGTCAAATTGCTTTAGTAATTTATCGTTCCATGCAGCATATACAAGACTAAGTTGTAGCGATAGACACCACTTAGCAGCGTGAAATTCCGAGGCAAAAGCAATAACAAAAAGTCCCGATCTCGAGTGACTCAAAATTTCCTGTCCACCATACTCCGACGCCAGTCGAGACAATACCGTATGTTCATACAGGAGCTTTGCGTCCTCCATTAAGTCTTTTGCCTGACTCATCATCTCACGAAAACCCTGTACGGAAACCTGCACAATTACCACCTTTTCCCATCTTACGGGCGTAAGATCTCCCAAATCCGTCTTGATTTTGTTAACCATGACCCGTTTACTAAACGTCGCATTGTTTGATCCTACTCCAGAATACTCGGAACCTGATACATCCAAACTCTGAGTGCTGCTTCCTCCACTATCTGCTTCCATTCTCGTTAGACGAAGTAACGTGGGGTTCTCTCTCTCAGTAGATTGATTTTGAGAATTTCTTGAAGACGTGAATGATCGATATCCGTCCTGATTCGTTGAAATCTCGGTTAAATTGGGTTTCTCCTTACCAGGAGTGATACGACCGGATTCCTGAAAATTTCTTTCGTATGTACCATTTGTATCAGGCTTTCTCCTGCTCATTCTACCAAGCGGTCGAGTCTGGTTCATATTATTATCCGTTTGCAGACTCAATTCACAGTCTAAACTGTGTCGCAAAGGGTAATTCGCATTCACGTGACGTAATGAGTCACTAGATGTTGCTGAGTCCTTATCAATTCCTCGTGGGGACTGGGACCGCATCCAAGGGCCACCCATGTCCCCACGTCGGTTATCATCATCCAGCGTGTCATCCTGATGTACATGCTGCAAATATGGTGCTAATTCTCGTACAATATCGTTTCGAGGAAGACACTTCTCCAATACACGCATGCAGCACCACCAACACATTGGAAGGTTCCGCTGGCTGGCTCTTATAGGTCTTCGGTACCTTTTAGGTTAAGCTGGGATTGATACCGTGGGTTCAGTACCCGTTAGTGTTGATCGGAGGTGGTCTGACAAACTCAAACGTCTTCTCCGAAATAATCGTGCGTTATAAAAGTTGGCTGCTGCACAAGTACGTCCTACTACTTCCGGTCACCCGCTCTTGCTTGCTTGCGCTGTGTGCTACTGGGCTTCTTTTCCTGGCGCTCTCTATGCAGCATACAATATGTTTGTCCATCGTGGAGTCGTACGATCAAAAACGGGCCAGAAAAACCTCTTCCCTTATTGAAAACAATAACCTTTCATACTATATAATTCTGCCTTGGGAGCTTCAATATAGTTACAAATTTGAAATCTGATATTGAGAATCAAAAGAGTTAAGAAAAAAGTGAGTAATGCCGAGCTAAAAATGTTAAGTAGCGTTGATTGCAGTTACTGTGGCGCTTTTCTAAAGCCTTCACGATTTTGGCAATGGGTTACATACATTGTTTTCCGTTTATATACCCACCGTTTTTTATGTATTGTTGGTAATGTCAAACTCATTATGCTAACGCTCTTCGAATGACTAAAAAGCAGTTCGTTTGCTCGTTTATTGCACTTCATCGTCGTTGTTGACTTGTCGACTGACTGGTCATCCGTTAAATCCGTTGATGACGAGGAAGCGTGGACTGGATGTCTGTTGACCATTTTACATGAGTTATATACTACATAATAGGGATAGTAAACGGGAACCAGATTTTTTTTTGAACGGCAATGTCGAACTTGAAAAGTTGACAATTGGCACCCATTAATTATTGCTGGTAGGTTGGTGAGTGGGTAATACGACTTGAAGTATTTTAATTTTACTTGATTAAGTCAGTGTTGACAATTACTCTCAGAATTACTTAAGTGAAATAAACAGCCAACCTCAACTGTATCACAAGCGTCTATATACTCTTGAAACTCAATCGAGATGACAGAAAAGGTTAGACACACGCAGTGTCGATTCATTTATTCACATTTCTTGACCGAACGGCGCGTAGCATCGACAAGGTTGAGCTGAATCCAAAGCTTGGACAGTGGGCAATGCAACAAATATGGCTGTAGCGACGAAGTGTGCGAAAGCATTAAGCGCGTAACTCGGCGAAATGTGCGCCTCCACGCTAAACGATAAGTACTATGACTTTTGTACGTCTATCGCAAAGCTAACCCGGCTATAGATGTACTCACAATCAACATACTAAGCGGCTATTTGTGGTGACCGGTATCTTAAACGTAAGACGCTGGTGGCACACGTGCAAATTCGTAATTACGCCAATTTGAAAGTTTGTCTATGGAAGCTTTACTGGGATAAAACTGACGTCGTCACCTTTTTGATGAATAGTTGGACGATTCTTTAGCGAGTGTGTTTTGGAAGCCGTGCGCCTTGATTCGGTGAACGCCGTTGCTCTCTTTTGAACGTGCGTAATCAGTCGAGCTTCGACCCGCTGCTTTGCCTAGGTTTCCGCATGTACAACCGCGTACAACTTTTGTTTTGAGCAGGGACGGCCACAGCTATCTTACGTCAAAATAAAAATTAATGTAGGGTGATTTCTCACGCTTTGCATTTAAGCAGAAGCCTTAACACTTTACGTCAATTGTTTTGCCACTGCGATGGTCTCTTTGGATGTTGTGAGCGAGCTCTGCTGCTGTACAACTCACATCATGTGCAACTTATAGAAAATGCGCGGTTGTGGCGGTTGTGAACTTGAGAACGCGGAATGCATTTATCGTCGGTGAAAATCAAGCGAAGATTTCTGGACGCAGTGGCGGCCATCTAAAGAAGTATGACGATGCTGTTGCGTCCGTTGTGCTTGATATCAAATCTAGCGACTAAAGCATCTGCAAAATGCTCTCTACTCTCAATGAATTGATAATGACTGCCTATTGAAATCTGATGTGGGATGCATATATATCATTTTTAAGACTGACGTCTTGCTCGAAGCACAAAAGTGCACCGAATGTCTTGACATTTTTAATATTTACTTAAATGAAATATTATACGGCTTCAACAAAAGAACATATTTCTGTACAGTAAAGCAACTTCACATAGCGAAGGGTATTTATAAAAATGCCTCTGCATCACCGTTTACTTTTCAATTTTCTTTCCTTTTATTTTTGCATTTTATATTTATTGCCTTCTGAAAAGCACAATGAATTAGCTCCACCGGACATCTATCGACGTTTGATTGAAGCTTTCCTGGAGTCTCACCAACGCAATTGTTTTAGAGTCTCCAGGCAAGCGATTACTACTACTACTACTACTCTTCGCAAGTAGTGCTCTAATTGAAATCAGTAGGATATGAAGCGTGTCTTGTCGACCCATGATACATTTCATGTTTCATCTGATAGTTTGGGATAATCAGTTGTCATGAACTACCGAGCTACACGACAGCCCCGATAGCAGCTTTCGTGAAGCGAATGTCCTCCAAGTAGCCACACTATTACGCTGCTCAGGTCAAAGTGATACGTTCAGACATGAAAAGGCAATTTGATAATTAATGGTGAATGATCTATAATGATCAAAACCTGCTCAACGTATTGCTATGTCATCAGAAGCCCCACCCCCTAACATAAACATCCAAGACTCTTTCATTTAATCCGCTTTTTCTTTTCTCGACGCAAAGAATACGACTTTGACCGAAAGACCCGCACTGACCTTTGAAACGCTTGGTATTAAGAAACCGCACGATGCCACTCCACAATTGCGTTGACATTCGCGAGGTCTACACGAACACCGTGCAACGACCAAGGACCCGCACGATGCCACTCCACAATTGCGTTACCATTCTCAAGGTCTACACGAACACCGTGCAACAACCAAGGACCCGCATTTTTTTAGTGCCCGAAATACACTTTTTGCACGATTCGCTTTCAATGAATGTTCATGCATACATTCCAGCAACGCACGGGGGTGCTTCAAGTATTTGTAAGATCCATTGACCAAATCAAGTACACTAAATTGAGTACAGCCGGACATTCGGTGGGTGACGAAATCCTCACGCGGAATCGGCGTCTGAGCGGAAATCGCAGCGGGGCTGCCGTAGCTTTTCGCTTAGAGGAAGCTTAATATAGGTCACCGATCTTACGTTCATCACAAGAACCAGTACGAGTGTAGCGAATCGCAATCCACTACATCCAAGAGTAGTTAGAACCTTAACCCAAGGCTAATGAACTCTTCTGTTTAAAATTTAAACTGTATTTATTTGTTATTATCTGCGGCAAAGCCGCCTAATTTTAAATGTATAGATTTTCCTAAATATATATATAGAAAAATCTAAATACATGCACTACTGGCTACCCCGCCACGTACCGTATACTTATTTAGGTGCAGTCACACCATGCCCATCTGGTGTAACAAT